TTATGTCTATGCAAGTACTCGCCGTTGGCAAGACGAGAACAACCGGAAATTATATGTCTAAGGCTTTCACCAGGACAATGACATGCCCGACAAATGTCTATTGTGCCGTCCTTCAGGATATACTTCCGATAATTATTCGTCATAACAACTTCATCAGTAATTGCAAAGACAAAACCTTCAGTTTCCCCGAAGAGGTCACCGAATCGAAGTCAGAATACAGACGCTAGTTGATCTATATTATTATTCTCTTTATTAAATTATATATACATATTAATTACATTTTTAAATATATTACAAAAGAAATAAAAATACATTTAAAAATATAAAAAATAGTAGACCACCGACATCGGGTACAGGTACCAAGACACCAGTGGTTAGGACTGCAAAGATAGGAACCTCCTCACTATACGAGCCGTGTCAAGGAGGACTGCCTTCTGTATCAGACCCTTGATCCAGCCGTCCAACGTGAGCCTCTTAAGGTGTTGGTCGAGGCTCTTGGCTATCAATCCGTGAGCAGATACGACTATCGGAACAATTATCACTGAATCGACATTCCACATATCGACAATCTCGTGAGATAAATCCAAATATTTTATTTGTTTTTCTTTTTCAACTTTCACGAGATTCTCGTCATGAGGAACGGCGATATCAACAATAATTGCGCGGCGCTCTAATCGATCTATCACTACAATATCAGGCTTATTAGCAACAATAGTCCTGTCTGTGATAATAGATCGATCCCAATACAACGTGGCCCGACCATTCTCGAGAACTGGGTCGGGCACATACCTCTAGATACACAAGATGGTATTTAAGGGCAAGCTGTTGGTGTACAATCCTGGCTACTTGGTTGTGCCTATGCAAATATTCACCGTTAGCAAGACGAGAACAACCAGAAATGATATGCCTGATTGATTCCCCAGGACGGTGACATGCCCGACAGATGTCAACCGTGCCATCTTTCAGGATATATTTCCGATAGTTATTCGTCATGATAACTTCGTCCATAATCGCACAAACAAAACCTTCAGTTTCTCCGAAGAGATCACCATACCGTAGCCAAGTCGTAGATGCTTTAAAGTCTATATCGGACCCGTTTAGGGCCCGATAAAACCGGCCATGGAGCTCTTTGCCCTTCCATACTTCCCTACGATCATTAGTACTAAATACTACAGGTTTGCGCCAATTCTCTTTAGCCAGAGCGAGCGGGGTGAATCCGATATCCACTGCAACTACATTGCGATGCATTCCCACATCGGTATGTAGAAAATATTCTCTGAGATTGCATATCTCCCGATTGTGTAGGGTCTTGATATTTAATAATCCGCGACCCCCTAGCTTTCGCGGGATATACAATCTCATAACCGATGAACGTGGGTGGTGCATTCGAAATGCAGTCAGCAATGTACGGACTCTCCTATCAAGGGCATCTAGTTCGGTCTGAGTCCATTTAAGTATACCAAAGGAGTACATCAGAATCGGCATGACCCAACCATTGCAGGCTCGCACCTTGTTGCCCCTCGATAAAAGACTTTTAAGTACTTTTTTCAAACGGCCAAAAAAACGTTCCTGCAACGTTTGTTTCATGTCAGATTCTGGTACGCCTAACGACTGTGATATACCCAAATACTTGTAAGTTTCAGTGGCAGACAGAGATCTGAGTTTTGTTGAATCGGAAAGCTCTATTCCTTCAGATTCTACTATCTCACCCTTCTTTACATACATGACTGCACACTTGTCTACACCAAATTCCATTTTGATAGAATTACTAAAGTTTTCCGTCACCTTCAGTAACGCTGACAATTGTAATTTGGTGGGGGCCAGTAGTTTCAAATCATCCATATAAAGAAGGTGAGATATAACTTGATCGTCTTTCTGCAACCTATAGCCTAGCCCTGAACCCTCTAATAAAGTGCTAAGAGGGTTCAAAGCCAGGCAAAACCACAAGGGACTCAGACTATCACCTTGAAATATACCCCGCTCGATCTTTATTGGTGCATCAATTACCGTCGTCTGCCGACATCCTGGATAACGAAGCGCTGTTCTCCATTGCCCCATACATGACTTCAAGAAAGTGCACAGAGTTGTATCAATTTTATACAACTCCAGCACCCTCAAAAGCCATGTATGTGGAACCGAGTCATAAGCCTTCTTATAGTCTATCCAACATGTCGCCAAACTCTTACGATTACGACGCACCTGTTGGCTAATGGCCCTGTCTATAATAAGGAGGTCTTTAGTGCCACGGCTCCCACTTCTACATCCATTCTGAGAAACTGACATAATCGAATTATTATTAATGTGTAAAGTAATTTTGAGTCTCAGAATAGATGTAAGAAGTTTGTACATGGTTGGTAAACATGTAATAGGTCTAAAATTTTTGGGATCCATGACACTACCAGACTTATAGAGTAAGTGGGTTATACCAGTGGTTAAAAAATTGGGGTAATGAACCCGAATTTAAAGCTGCCTGGAATTGAGATGCCAAACACGCATGTGAGCTTCGGAACCACTTAAGCCAAAAGTTGTGCAGTCCGTCTAAACCAGGTGATTTCCAATTCGGTAATGAACGAACTGCACAGCTTACATCATCTTTATCAATTATAACTGGTTCCATAGGTGTTATAGACTCACATGAGCGTCTGACATCCCGCAACCAATCACCTTCTATATGAGTGACAGGCACCGACCAGATGTTCCGCCAAAAAAGTATGTGTGACATTTTCATCTGGCAAATGCCCATGACTCACACATGGATCCGGTTCCTCCCATTTCCGGTACACCCACTTCTCATTTCTTTGGAACATCCGATTCTGATTATACCGATCTATTCGTTTTTTGTACCGTCTTATCCTATTTGCCCATGCATAAATTTTCTGCTTTAGAAAGTCTATGCGCTCTGTGACACATGACATGTACTGTTGAGGACCAATGGTAGTCCTAAAGAATGCCTGTTTCACAAAGCGCATCACTCTCGGCCGCGTATTCCCTGATCGAAAACTAATTAGCTTACCAATAAGCACCCTGGTCTCAGCAATACGACGTTCAATTCTACACTGCCAAGCTGGTACAGTTGATTTAGGTCGAGTAGTAGTGACATTTTCAACTATATTAACACCAGCTACTCGACAAACTGCAACAGCCGCACAATACAGAATAGAATGTGTATCACCAAGATCTAATAATAATAATAATCTAATTATTATTATTATTATAAATTTTATTCAAATCTTTTAGATTAATCGTGAACATTATGTAAAAAAAGTAATTGAACTGATTTGACAGGGCAATAGGCATCATTTTATTGACAGACTAGCTGACCCGGTAAACATTGTTTTGCCATATACATTATTCCAAAAAAAAATTGTCAAAAAAAAAATTAGAGGTATGAAAAATAGATGTTGACCGATTCTCAGACCTCAACGATTCTCAGATCAAGAAAATCGTAAACGAATGATTTTGATAGATATCTAGGTTAACTTTTTGAGAGCTATGGCAACTCATTTGTGACAGGCAGCTGTCATTGTTATCGACTTCACTACAGCCTTTAGGCAAACTACAAACTAAAATAACTTTTAAACGCAAACTTCTATTCCGTGTGGTGACGGATCAAGAATACGGAGTGTCACCACCCCTATTCTTCCCGTGGGAGTCGTAAGAGGCGACTAAGGGAACAAACTACGCAGGTCAACAGCACTGCAGAGAGAAGGAAAACTTGAAACAAACCCTATACCAACCCGTCTGGCCAGCGTGGTATAGTAGGCCAAAACCTCCTTTCTAAGGAGAGGCCTATGTCCAGCAGTGGACTAGTAAAGACTGTTGATGTGCAAACTTCTAAAAATCTGGTAATTAAAACTGTAATTGTTGATGACATTACCAGCCAAATAAATACAACAATAATCCCTACCATGAGATACACAAGGCGGTACAAAAGCCATACATACAAGCCTGCCGTTAAATATTAGTTTTTTTATGTTAGAGGGGGCAGACGAGCAGACGGGTCACCTGATGGAAAGTGACCATCGCCGCCCATGAACGTCTGCAACTCAGGGGTCACAAACGCGTTGACGACCTTAAATTTTTTTTTTGCCTAAAAATTAAACGTTTGTAAGATATGATATATTAATCTTAAGTGGTTTTGTAACTTTAGGACTCTCTCTTTACTGCTGTCGTCCTAATATTAATAGGTATCTAAACTTTTTCATATATATGGAAGCTTAAATTTATTATTTAAAAACAACTATATCTGATATAAACTAATAGTTACATAAAGTTTATTAATTTATTTATTTAAATTCGTGTTCTTTCTAACGTCATAACTAAAACTTGCCGTACGACAAATGTATAATTAAACTTTTTTATGTCAATCTTCTCATTGGTAGAATCATTCTTTCCCAAACGATGCACAGTGGCCAAAAAGGTTGATCAAGTTAGACATAAAAACATTACAGTATGTCTTTGACATCACTTGATAAGAAGATTATTAATTCGTCTCCACACTCATCCGTGTGTGGAGAGGCCCATGTTCAGCAGTGGACCCAAATGGTGGTGAAACCCAAATTAAAAAGTCTACATTAAACAGTCTATCGCATTTCTACAAAATTAGCAATGAAACGGCACTCACTCACTATGCAAAATAAGAATAGAGTCTTAAAGAACTAGAGCCAAGCATTGTTTTTCGTAGACTAGTTTTTATCATTTCAATCTATTTTCGGAAATGTGGAGTCCTAATTTTAATACTATTTTGTAAGTCACGAATAATATTTTTAATTATGAAGTCTTATAGTCTTTTCGACCACTGTGCAATAAAGCCATAATGTCAGAGTTGTGTTGACAATGACATTAAATAAACACTTATGCTTTGTATTCTAAACTAAAAATATTAAGAAATGTAAAAAAATATAGAACATCTCGCTAGTAAAATTAAATTAAGAGTGAATTGTAAAAGGTTATGATTTAAAAGTATTTAAGAAGCTTGAAACTATATTTAATAATTAGCAATGTTATTCACAGCAAAAAGATGTGTCACCAGCGGCCTTTGTGAGTTTACTCTTTCTATATTTCATTTTAAGTAAACATCTAATGTAAATAAAAGCATCACCCTAATGTGCTCTGATTTACATTAAATAATATGCTTTAAAAATGACTACTTATTTTATATTTCTTCCTCTTTTATGTTTCTTCCTGTTTCATTATTTCTCTGTTTTACTACATATATTATCCGTGTGGTGACAGATTAAGAATACGGAATTTCACCAACCCTATTCATCCCTTGGGTGTCGCCGACTAAGGGAACAAACTGCACAGGACAACAGCACTGCAAAAAGAAAGAAAACTTGAAACAAACCCTATACCAACCCGTCTGGCCATGCTGGCCTAAATCCCTCCGTAGGCCTAAATCCCTCCCTATATCCTTTCTAAGGAGAGGCCTATGTCCAGCAGTGGACTATTATAGGCTGTTGATGATGATGACTATATTTCGACTCTACACTTAGACTTTTGGAAATAAAAAGAAAAAGAAATTATAAAATCTAATTACCTATGTAGTGAAACCGACTATTTTAAAACCGACGGTACATTACTGTAAAAATACATGCGACTGGAGTGAAAATAGTATCAATCGTCTATAACTTCAGGGAATACACTCATTCATATTTGTAACGTACTCAAGTTTCTTGACTACCGGCCGGAAGGCCGGCAACGCGTTTGTGACTCCTGACGTTTATGGGCGGCAATGGTCACTTTCCATCAGGTCTGCTTGTCTGCTGCCTCTAACATAAAAAAAATTGGGATAAAGTGATCGTCGTCTACTGCCATTAAGCTTTTTATGCAGGCCCCTTAAACTATTATAACATTCACTCGCGCTGACATAATGTTAATGAGTGAACAAATAATTTTCTTTGTATATCTATAATACGACTGCACGGATGGCGTAGTGGTTTAAGCAGGTGTTGTGGGTCCGATCCCCACGTGAGACGACACTTTGTGTGATCCACAAATTGTTTTTCAGAGTCTGGGTGTTCTATGTGTCCATTTCATGTATGTTTGTAAAGTCCCCCGCGACACATGATATATTCCCAATGCGGGAGTTGTCTTTAAAAAAAAAGATAAAGCAATTTCTTATTTTACCATGGTAAAAAAATAATGTTTTAGGTATCTCCAAACAATTCAACCATAATACCCTTATGCTAAAGCAACACCTTCGAGATGTGATGCCATCCCCGTTATCAGGAAATTTATTGGTGAACAAAATAAATAATAATAGTAATAAAACTCTAGTGATGCGAGATGCTTCTAAAGGAGAAATTAAGAAAAATGCTCAAGATGCAGGTAAAAAATAATTATTTAATATTTTATAGGATTTTTGTAGAACCTCTGTTTTTGGGTAGAATCAGGTTTTCGACAGCAGACTCCAAATAAGATTGGCGGCAAGTAGGTTGTTGGTCATAACAGAAACCGGCCAGAACTCTTTTGCAATTTTACATATTTGCTAACCCAAATAAAATTAGGAAAAGAGCAGGCAGTTATTAATTCTTACTCTCCTTGAAATCGATTCTTCCTCTTCTCTCTCTCTCTCTCATTTTCTTCTTCAGTCTAAAAAATTAAAATCCTTCTCCAAGTTTTGACTTTCAATCTAGTTGGAAACATTTCTCTGCTGTCTCTCTCTCAAATAACTATTACGAACACACCATTGCCTGGCCGTACCTTAGCACAAATTAACAAAAGACCTTGATGCTGGTAAGTATAAGCTTTTCATCGTCAGCTTAGCTTAATTGTTAAAGCCATTTGTATTGTAACAAAAGATAGTTTAGCATGCATTTGCAGTTGGGACTTGAGTATAATCTTTTTAAAAAAGCTTACTTTAGGGGTTAACATGCCGAAGAAAATAATGGCAAAAAAAGGTATTGTGTCTCTGCTACCAATCCAAGTAATTATTTAAATATTCTGTTTCTATCTGTTCGATGATTTCATCGTTTTATAAATTGTTTAGTCTCTGAAAGGCATAGTCCTACAAGGAAACCCTCGAGGCAACAAACGACTTCAGTTTTTATCTTTTCTTACAAATTAATTAATGAACCTGTCACACGTGATGCTCCGTAAAACATCATTAAAATGAATAGTTTAAATGATTTCCACATAACTCATAACAATGGGTTGTATAGAAATCATTCAAACGAATTAATGGAAATCAACTAAAGGCAAAACGCCGAGACATCGGTCTTCTATTTTGGGATCCTTGGTGACAATTACGTTAAATTTGACTCAAAAAGCTGCTTAGAAAAGAAAGCTGTTTAGATTTGGCAACTCATATGGGCAATAGATGAGGTTTGCAAGAACAAATTTCTATACATACATGTAACATTACCAACAGTCTCTGCTTATCCCCTTAAAATAGTGCCCCATCGTGTTTGAGAAAATTAAGATTACATATTTTATAAAACTAAGGATGCTCTTCAAGTACTTATGCAATGATTAATTCGAAAAACAATTTACCTTAGGTGACGCACAATCAAAGCTAAAACTGCCAAATGATACAATAAGACAACATCTCAAAGATGAGGTGGTCTCGACACTATCAGGAAACATATTCATGAATGCAGATGGAGAACAGGCTAATAGAAGTGCTCAAGCAGATAGTAACATTATGGTAAAAGCAGGTAATCCATCTAATAATTCCACGTAGTTGTAACTTGGTTCCCATTACATTAATACCAAATCACTTGATCTATCTGGACCTATTTGAATCTATGTAGACTTCAGCTCTTTAACGTTTATAAAGTACAACTACTTTTATTTACAGACAAAAACAACATGGCGAACTACTTTTGCCTACGTAAGCATAAACTTCAATCTTATATATTAGAAAAATATTGTCTTTCAAACACAGTTAAAGAAACTCACTAAGAAGAAAAAAACAGAAAACTCCCCGGCTTGATACAAGTACTAACTAAAAATAATTATTTACAAACTTTCACCCAAGGTCAAATATAACAAAGTATATTCAAACCTGAGAAAGTTTAACTAAGAATAATTATGGCAGAGTACTAAATTTTCCGCCAGGTTTTTTATTTTACTAAATAACAAATTAAAGTTGTATATTATAACGTCAAATTAATAATGTAGGTTAAAATAGCTTTTTTTATAAGATAAATTCACCGTTTCTTTTCAGCAGTTAAATGTCTTCTTTCCATGAATTCTATCATTAAACCGCTCCTCTCATTCAACGATCTAAAAATGGCTAACTTAACAGATTAAATTATCTGTTGGAATTTACTGTTTTAGAACCAAATTTCTTTAGATTTTGAAGTTAATATAAGCAAGTACAAATGCAGAAATTCATATTTGTTCTAGATGTTCCTGATTTATTCCAGACCAAAGCTTCTACAGTAAAAATACATGAACATTTTAAAAGGGAGATGATTTCCCAATTTGCAAATAACATATTGATGAATAGACAAAGTGGCCAGAAAACTACCACACCAATAAAAGGAGGGCTTTGTGGAAAAGAGACCAAAATAAAGCTTCAGGAGTATAACGTCATACTGAGCCCTCCAGGTAAAAGTAGTTCATGAAATCCAAGGAACCACACTTTAAAAATACGATTATGTTCTAATATGTTCCCCAAACGGAAAACTACAGTAGCTTTATTCTACTTTCTGTCACAATTTACAATTACTGTCTAAAATATTACAGTTTCGACCCACAAATTATTTTAATAATTCTGAAATAGTTGATTCCGGTTCCAAACCCGAGTGCCCTCAGGCTTTTAACAACTTTCTGTGTGTTTCCTTTGAGTGTATATTTTATAAAATGCTCTTCTAAAAGTTAGAAAAAGCCAGATATTACTTACTTACTTTTATTATTAAAATAACATACGGACACTTTCCACCAGACCATGTACATTCCAGCTTCTACACTATTAATAACAAATCAAAGGAGATGTGAACCTTACTAGCGTGGGTTCCCACTAAAAGAAAAAGATATATTTTTTATGATTGAAGTTTTTTTTCAAAATTTACTAAATTCTTGTTTTGTTAACTGTGTGTACTGTTTTTATCTCTTCAGATAGCTTAAAAGGATTAAAGTGTGCAGAAACTGGAAAGAACAAGCAAAATTTCCAAACAAATGCTGTACCGCCATTGTCAGGGAAAATTTGTGTAGCAATGCAGGTACGATTCCAAGTAAGTACTGAGATGCATAATGAAGGTAAAAAATGTAAAATCATTCCGAAATGCAACCAACCCAACAGCAGCTTCAATATTCCTAAAATAAGTGCATCTAGCGCGTGTAACAAACCCACACTTTATAACAACCAGTGTAAACCTAAGACTAAGTAAATTATACAAACCAACCACCAAAAATACTCCAAGCCTGTGTAACGGTAACTATAAATTTCTAATGTAAAAATTTCTTAAATGTCTGATTTTTTTAAAATTTTGTTTAATATATTGTTATGGTTAAACACACCTATGTAATTATCTTCAAATTAAAACGTTTCTACTGCGTGAATAGTACAATCATTGTGATGTTTTAATTATAATTATTTTTAATGTTATTCGTAGTATGCTTAGATAAAGAGGTTGACAGTGGTGTAAGATTAAAAAAAATATTTTCTGCTTCACGTACATGTTCTTCAAGTACATTTTTAGTATTGTTTCAGAAGATCAATATATAGTATTGTTGATAGCATTGTTTCAGAAAAAAACCGACTTTCCTAAAAATATATGGCACGGAAATTTTGTTTACCATTTCATGTTCTTCTTGGGTACGCTTCAATTTGCGTAGGATCTGATAATTTATAATTTTGAAGCTTAAATTTTCTCTTTGTAATGAAACCAACCATTATTTCAAAAAGAAATATAAACACGCTAACCGCATATAAAATCCCTATTAGCATAAATGCACCAAGTAATTGCTGGATACTCAACGACATTATGGCACTAGTACTTTCTATACTTGCCGCGTGTATCAAGAGCTCTTCGTTCCACTTATTAATTAGTCCATTTTCAGTGACGCTTCGGATAATAGTGTTGAACCGTTCTAATATAGGAAACCATTTCCTAGCCAGAATAGCAACACTATATTTGTACATATTATTACTTTCTGGAAAACAATAAATTAAAGGTTCCCCTTTACCTAACTTCCGGTCTTGGTAGACAGCTTGACGTCTCGAAGAAACGACAGCGAAGTTTCTCTCCAAAGCTGTACGTCTGATCCCCTCCAAGAATGTAGTCGAGTTGTACTTGCGATATAAATAAGATGAATTCGCATTATTAGTTTCAAAATAAGACCGATAAATCTTCCTACCTCCCAGCGGAATACCAGACTGTATAAAATCAGATTCAGTGCTTATCTGCTTTTCAAATCTAGGATGCATTAGGAAAGTTCTAAGAAATGATTCGTAAGATATACTCATGTTTATACTGAAACAGAGCCAAGCGAATATTAAGATTCGGAACGTTGAGCTCCTTGGTTCAAAAGTAGCTCCCCAACCTAGCAACATGCTAAAAGTCATCAGCAAAGAGTTTGTTGGCCATTTGGTTACTTTACTATTGTTCTCTTTATAGTGAAAGTAGTGAAATATGAGTGACATCACGATTAAGCTAACAAGCACAGCCATCCAGGTGGACCACTGAAATATAATTACAAGGTTATCCCAAGTAGCCGCTTGTCTCGCTTTCGGAGTGCAAATCGTCATTTCATCTTGCAAGTAATTTACAGTTGGATGAAACCATTTCCGAAGAATCCTTGTCACTTCAACATTTCCCACGACGAGATCTGTCGACCCATTTCTTAGCATGGCGTACGCCCCTGTCGCGGATCCATTAGGGTAAACCACACCCCAGTTTTCCGGTATCTCCGACATTCTAACAATTAATGTCATGTTAGTAAATTCACTTATAATTTTAACAAGATTTATATCACCTCCTCTCGTGAATTCGTACACATCGTCATAAAGAGTATTACTAAGTTTTTTCACGGGAGGTAAAACGTATGGCTCAGCGACAACGGCATAAGTTATCAAAGGGCATCCTTTCATATTAGGTGGGAACATTTCATGCTGTTTTTCAACTTGGAATATTATATTATCCTTACATTTATCCAGTATGTACACAGAATGACATTCTCCACCGCAATTAGTATCACTGTAAGGTCTCCAAGTGTACGAAATAACTTCATCGTTTTGTTTATCGCAGATAAATACAATCGTTTTAAATAATTCGTATACTCGAAGTTGGTTTATGAGTTCTATAGCTGTGTCTGCACCAGTCTCATTATTTTTCAACTCGTAATAAACTATAGCTTTTGCCAAAGGATTCCAACTAGGCAATTTATTCAACTGCAGGATATTCCTTTCCAGCTCTGATTTTTCTTCTAAAATCAACATATAATTTTTCGCTTTCTCAGGGAAATGGGAAGCGTTTGCATGCGAGTAAAAAGAATCTTTTACCATAATAGAATATTTGATACCGCTGTGAATAGTATGCAACAGTGGTCCTTGTGTTGTAGAGGTATAAGAATTAATGTTGATTATAACAATGCTGCCGCTTAAAGCTTTCTTTTCAACAAAATATTTCGAAGAGAGTTTTAAAACACACTGAGCTGTTTTTATTATTTGTTCAGAGTTTCCAGTCGTTATTAGAAATGAGTTTTCACCCATGGTCGAAACAAAATATATGGAAAATAGAAATGTACATATAACGGCAAGCATCTTGAGCAGACGTTAGTGTTTTTTGAAGTAAAACGTGAACTGAAAGCTGCAGTAATTTTAAACTCGTTATGTTTAACATTGAACTTTTACATTCAGAGATATGCAACTTTTTGTAAATATGATTGAGACATATTTTTTTATCATCAACAGCCTTTACTAGTCCACTGCTGGACATGGGCCTCTATGGCTATGGCATTTTTTCCATAAGCCGCTTTAGCAGTATTTATCACCATTACTGTAGCTACTGTAAAAGTGAAAATTTTAATTATTTGATAAAGTATATATACATATAAATATAATTGAACAAAAAAAGGTTTACACATGAGAATAACCCACTAGTTTCGCATTCCACTAAGGCCGCTTTGGGAGCAGGAGTGTGAAGGGAAGTGACTGCGCACTACGGTATTATTTAGGTCTAAAATATGCACATAAATTAAACCGTTTACCTATACCAAAATATTACTTAAATGGTAAAGTTGATGATTTCCTTTATTTGATTGTTTATTTAACGGTGCAATTCTTTAAAACTATTCGTTTTATCAAATAGAAACCTTTTTGAATTGGATAGAGCACTTATTGATTTAGGTAATCGGTTCTAAAACATCTTGTTGTGACTTTTAAAAGCAGAGGAGTGCCATCAAACCATAGACGCGGGTGTTAACCAGCGTATATAGTCTGCTGGTTACAAACTTTTTAATCTATTTTTTTCAAAGACAACTCCCGCATTAGGAACCTGTATCCAGGGGGACTTTACAGCAGGAGACTCTACTCGGGGGTTGTGCTGTCCATGGCCCTTTACGGGTGCCCAGTATTGGCGGGAGCCCTGGCCTTCAGCCAGCAACGTCGCGATATTGCGACGACCGCAGCGAGTGCTGGCCATCAGGATCATAAGGGGGTACCGCACGATCTCCTTTGAGGCGGCGAGTCTCCTGGCCGTGGGACCTGGAGGCGAGAGCCCTTGCGTCTCGGTATCAGTGGCGCAAGGAGGCGCGGGAGTTGTGTCATTGTCCCGAGATTCGAGAAATCGATGACTTCCTTTCTAGGGTATACCTGGTTCCCCGGCTATTAGTACCCGAGACGGCGTGCGGTTTTAGTCGGTTCGAGTCCGACATGCCACCGATAGGTGGTATCCGAGGGGATTTCCGCACGGAAAAAAACAAAAAGGGGGGGAGACTTTACAAACATATATGTATGTATGTAACGGAAACAAAGTACACCCAGACTCAGAATAGTTGTGGTCGGAACAAAGTGTTGTTCAGTGTCCCACAAGGGGATCGAAACGAAACGGTGAGGTGACCGCTTAAACCACTATGCCATCCGTGCAGTCAAAATTAGGCATAGGCAGATGAGAAAGATAGGAAAGGCGGGAAGTATTGTTTTATATCAGGTATTTGTGATTCTAACAACTGCCTGTGCGGTCGTCTAAATATAGAGCGTATTACCAATAGTGCTATTGTGATATTATTTAAAAAGCCTAGGTCCGCTTTTATTTTAATGCCTTTCACATCACATCAACAGCCTTTAATAGTCCACTGCTGGACATAGGCCTCTCCTTAGAAAGGAGGTTTTGGCCTACTGTACCACGCTGGCCAGACGAGTTGTTAAAGGGTTTGTGTCAAGTTTTTCTTCTCTTTGCAGTGCTGTTGTTCTGCGTATTTTGCTCCCTTAGTCGGTTCTTATGACACCCACGGGATGAATAGGGGTGGTGACACTCTGTATTCTTAATGCGTCACCGTCACATGAAACGTAATATGCAGGCAATGGCTAGTATTACAAACTAAGATTAAGATATTTTTGATTAGTGTGTCTTTTGGTTAAGTACCAAATATCTGCTCTCTTCCAGTACCTTCTATTTCAAACAATACACGTGCTAAATAAAGCTCTGAAAATCTTATCATTGCATTTGTAAATTTAAAAAAATATATATCTAGTAATCCTTCGGTTTTAAAAGGTTATCCTTCTAGGTTAAATAATACTAACCACGTGAAGCTTTTATCGAAAATATCAAGAGTTCAGAGCAATCTACGAGTACTTACTTTGATTGCTTTAATGTTTCCCTCGCTTTTTCTTTAAAGGTGAGTTCAAGGGCATCTATGAACCTTTTCAATATGTACTCTTTGATTTTATATATATCGTTATATTATTTACTTTCAATAAGGATGTTCGACGTCATATAAGTAAAGTGAATGGAACAGTAGCACATACGAGTATATATAATGTGTGTGTTGCTAACTTGTGATTCTGACTGCGAAGGCAGAAATTCAAGGTTCGATGCCCACCCTGGACAAATAACTGTATAATTGAGCATGATCAATTTTTGTTCTATGTCTGGGTATAAATTATCTATAAAATATAAGAAGTTAGAAATATTTAAGCATGATTTTCAGCAGTCTGGTTACCACAGTACGGGTTCTCTCTAGTTTGGGACCAGACGGCCGTGTGTGAGATGTGTAAGACTCTTATATGCTTTTCTCTCACCTTATGGCATTAAGTCCGCCTTATGCAATGTATTTGCAGGAAGACTAAATAAATAAATAAATAAATAAATAATAGACAAATTTCCTGACTTACGTTACGTACATATACGAGTACTTATCAATGTAGTTGCTAAGGTGGTGATGGTAACTAATCTAAAGTGGTTTCGTACGCATCACCGCTTTTCTTCATTGCCATAATGCGTTATGGTCATATAATAATCATGTTATACGACAGGGTGTCGTGATTATCAAGCGCGTTGTAGTAATCACAGATAGATCACAACACGAAATTCGTTTAATGGTCATTACGAAAATGCTTAGGAGGCGTTGATGCGATCATATAAATACTAGATAGCAAGATTAGTTTCGTGGCTATCATGTTGTATGACCACAACGCGTTGTGGCTATGGAGAAAAACTATAACGCGTATTGAACCATATTAGATTACGACACACGGCGATTTGCGATTTGAGTCCTACTATATAGTCTTGATTTTTTTAAATATATTACGTGTTGTGAGCTGTTTTTTCGCTCAACGAGCGTTATTTTTGTTTGTATTTGTTGTTGTGTTGTTTGTTCCGTTTGTATTTATGTTACACTCAAAGACCAAGGTCTTTGAGTGTAACATAAATACAAAAATACTAAATAGTCCGTGTGGTGACGGATTAAGAATACGGAGTGTTACCACCCCTATTCATCCCCTACGGGGACGGTCCCCCTAAGGGGACAAACTACGCAGGACAACAGAAGGAAAACTTGACACAAACCCTTTTTTTTTTTTTTTTTGTAACGTGTGGAAATCCCCTCGGACCGTCACCCCTCCGGGGTTTGCGGCGGGGTGGTGTGTCGGACTCGGACCGACTAAAACCACACGGTGTGCCACTCTGCGCCTGTAACAGGAGGGATCCGGGAACAGCTGTTGTTAAGACATCCGGACCCCTCCTAGCGCCAGCCCGCTCCTGGTGCGGGCTCCGTCTCAATGTTTTTGTTCCTCTCTTTAGGCGACGTCCGGCACACGCGGACGCCGCCCCCTTGCGGCTGGCCAAACTAATGCGGGTGGAGGGGAAACCCACCCCGTCCACCCGCGGCCACACTCAGGGCGGCATGAGGCTGTGGTAGGCGGGCCTCCGCCGCCCGGTTCGCCGGCGGCGGATCTGGTCCGAGTGGAGGTCGTCCTCCCGGGCCCTCTACGCCGCCTCCTTCCGCGAGATTACTACCTCGCAGAATTTTGCGACCGCGGTAAAACAACTGTCGTTACCGGCCATGGAGCGTACTACGGCCGGTAGCGAGAGATCCACTCCGATGACTGCAGTGAGGGCCCGGCGCTGCGCCGCCCATGCGGGGCAGACCGCCAGCGTGTGCTGGGCCGAGTCCTCACTGCAGTCGCAGTGGTGGCAGGCGGGACTCAGTTCCCTCCTAGCGACCGAGTGCAGGTACTTTCCGAAGCAACCGTGCCCGGAAAGCACCTGCGTCAGCCGGAAGGAAAGGGTCCCGTGCTGCCGCCCTGCCCACTCGGCGATGACCGGCTGGAGAGCCTCCACGGCGGCGAAGCCAGCGCGTGGAGTCTCCAGCCGGAACGACCAACGAGCCATCGTGGCTCGGCGAGCGGCTTCGCGCCACTCGCGCACATCCTCGGGCGGAGGGCGAAATCCGCTCTCCGCCCGGTAGTCAGCCACTCGCCGATAAACTTCGGCGAGCACTTCCGCCTCCAAATCCCACGGGGGAGTTCCGGCCAACGCGCACGCCACCTCCGTCGAAACGGTGCGGTAACCGCGTATGGCTCTGACCGCCATTACCCTCTGAGGGCGCCAGAGGCGTACCCTATTCTGGGCGGTCAGAGCCGCCGCCCACACCGGTGCACCGTACAGTGCCATTGACCGGACAACCCCCGTGTACAGCCGTCTTGTCGCGACGCTGGGTCCACCCATATTGGGCAAAAGTCGCCCTAGGGCAGACGCAGCGCCGACCAGCTTTGGAGCAAGCTGTCGGAAGTGCTCGTCGAAGAGCCACCTCCCGTCGAGGATCAGGCCCAGATATTTCATCTGGGCCCGAACCGGTACGAGGACCGAGTTGACCACTATTGAGGCGCCAGGGGGTGGACCACGACGGGGCCCATGAAATAACAGGGCCTCCGTCTTATCTAGGGCCACCCGTAAGCCCAGCGCCTCAATGCGCCCGACCACCAGGGAGACTCCCCCCTGTGGCCAGGCGCGCCGCCTCTTGGAAGTTTGCCCCCCGGGCTGTCACGAGGGTATCGTCTGCGTAACAGATTACACCCAGCCCGGGGGGGAAATCGGCGCGAAGGGCCCAGTCGTACCCTATGTTCCACAAGAGGGGTCCAAGAACGGACCCCTGTGGAACACCGCACGACATGGGCCGACACCTCAGATTACCTTCTCGGTCCTCGTACACGACGGTACGCTCCTCTAAATAGTCTGCCACTAGCCGCCTCAGGTACTTTGGCACCCCATG